GAATTTATATATATATATATATATATATATATATATATATTATGGTAAAAAAAACCAAATTTACCTCAGCATGAGAATAGTCTATTTCTGGCTGATCTGAAAATATATGCTCTGTTATAAATAGATTGAGCTATCTGTGGATCAGTTTTAATATTTGTTATTACTAGGATCATATGGATTATATACCAACGGACCTACTACCTGTATTATATATATATATATATATGTATGTATATGTGTGTATATATGCTGTTTTATTCCTAAGATGATTTTAGAAGCCAATAAACCCTGGACTAAGATGTTTGGCTGCATAATATGTGAGAGAGATATATATTATTTTAATCAAAATTATCTGCAAGCGATATTTGTAGGGTGGCTGTTTACAGAAATAGGCTCATAAGAATTTTAAGCAATCAAAAGCAGTTCTTTTTAATGAAATGTGCTGTTTTAGAATAATACTTCATAATGCAAAAAAGAAAGCCTGTCTAAAATTTTTTATATTTATACAAATGTGCAAACAGCTTTCACTTGTGTTGGCTGATTTTATGATAATTCAATCCTTGTAGGTTTATGTGAAAATAATTTTTTTTTTTTATTTCTATTTTATTCTTTTAATCATTTCACTCCATGCAAGGCAAAAAAGTTACTAAGCCTCAAGGGGTTACTTAGTGTGAAAGAATATAGGAAAAACAAAAATATTATTAAAGAGAACTGGAATTCAGATGGAAGATAATGATTGACATTGCATTTAATTTCTTGAAGTTCAAAGTTCACTAGAAAGCAAAAGGCTGGAAGAGATTTCCCCAAGTAAGAAGTGCGAGAGAAGAAACATAAAATAGAACTTAGATACATCTTGCAGTTTTAACTGTAAAATGTTTTTATAAGCATTAACTTAGCTAAGAGATAAGTAAATATTGGTCATTTTCATTCGATTACTTCAGTATTTACTTGATAGGTAACCACTTTATGGGAGTTCTGCCATGATATCAGTTGATGTCTTGTTAAGAACACATCTGTAGTATATTACAGAAACCATTTTGACAATTATCATCTTGAAAAAAAAAGGTCACTTGAGTAGAGTGGGCCTCCCAAGAACCAGGTTAATCAACCCTGGGTTATTGAACAACTTTTTTTAGATGAAATCTGACAAGACAAAAAAGTTTTGTTCTCTATAAGACAGTGGTTCTTAGCAGTCTAAACCATAGGAACATTCACCTTCCACATAAAACCCTAGTTAGACTGTTTGCCCCCTCACCTTGCTTCAATTTTTCTTACTCTTATGGTTTTTTTTCCCTTGGGTAATGATCCAGCCAAAGAATTATTTTCCTTGTATTAAGCCACAAGTGTTTGACTGGAAGAAACTGCACCCTGTGAATGAACCTGGTGTCTGGTCAGAGTTGCAACGCTACAGTTTTTACCACTCTACAGGGCAGTTGGTATTTTTTAGACTCGATTGAAGCATATTATTGGGAATGCAATGGTCACACATTGGCATCCCACTGTTTAATTCTATGGGAGAGTCTCTGTTCAAAGATGTGCAGTAAGGTCCCCTTTTTATTGGTTACAAAGTTAAATCAAGACCTCACAACCAATTTTTATGAGATTCAAAATAGTTGAATACTTTCTAGAGAGGCCACATATGTAAATGCTAATCTTATATATATATATATATATATATATATATATATATATATATATATATATCTGTAGATAAGGGAAAAATGAAAGGAAATATATCTTACATATCTTATTCATAGAAGTATATGAAAATGCAAAAAAAACGATCTCTTGGCAAAATTAATCTCCTGTTTGACCTTTCTGAACTTAATTCTATGATTCCCTTCTTTTTTTTTTTTTTACCTTTCATTCTATGTGCAAAGATCCAAAAGATTTCAATTTACTTCTTGGTAACATCACTATTACTTACCTTGGAGATATAATATAAGATCTTATATTGTCAGCTGAGGAACTCTTTTCCAATACTAGCACCATACAACATGGTTATACCTGTTGCCTGTTATGAAATTATTGGAAAGGTTCTTGCATTTTTGACAATGAAAAAAAAATTCTTAAATAATATAACAAAACCTGAAATGTATTTCTTTATTAGCTCACCATATCATTAATTCTTTGATTCCTTAACAAATCCTGGAACTCAAGATTTAAAAAAGAATTAAAAACATATATTTTAACATCTAGATAAAATTTATAGTTCCTGCAACAGATATTAAAATTTACTCATTTTTGTTAACTACTAGCTCTGAGATTGAAGCAAAAGGTGGAGTTGATCAGAAATACCAATGAAAAAACATAAATTAGCCCCTCTATAGAAGCCAAAACCAATATGATCATACAAAGGCCTGGTGCATACTACTTCAAACCCACCAACCAAAACTGGCTCAAGCATGATTGAGAACCCTGGGCAGTGCTTTGTGATCCTTACTGTCTTATCAACATTTGCTTTTTTCTACCTAAATTTATATAGGTTACAAATTAAACTAAGCCCAATTGACTATTAAAGGATGAAAAAATTTTTAAAATTTTGATGTTATTTTGTGGTCTTTTTTTTTCATCCAAATCCATGAATTTGTTTTCGTAAGTCTCTAAAAACATAGAATTCACTTTTTTTTTCATTCATAATTTTGAATGTGTTAAAATTATTCAACTTTCTAACATGTTAAAAATTTCTGCAAAACATTGTTTTATTTAAGATGGAATTATCTATTATGCCAGGTTTCTACTTTGTATTTAGATATACTATATTTATTTTCAATTTTTCTAGTTGAATTGTTCACCTATATTGCATATGATCCATTATTGTACATAATTAGGTTACAATAAAATTTTTATTTTATACTAATACTACCTTCTGAAAGTTGAGATGTAGTACAGTGGGGGGCTCACAAAACCCTTGCACTGGCTCTGATAATGAAACATGATTTCAAAAAATTAAAATATTTTTTTTTTAATGTGTAATGTGGAGTGCTTAATGAGTGTTCCAGATTATGAATTTTAATTTTTTTTAAAAATTTTCTTACATTATAAGAAATTACAGGCTATGAGAATATTTTCTTTGGTCTGGTCTTCTGCAAACTTGATCCCCACTATTACTTTAAATAATTTACATTTAATAAAGACAAAACAATTTGGGTTATTCAGGATCATTTTAATCTATAGTAATATTGAAATTATTTCAGGTTACAATGCTTCTTTTACAATGGCACCAAATAAAACAAAGATTTTCCTAAGGGTACAAAGTTTTTATTATGGTTGTTTACATAGACATATTTGATGAGCTGGGATCAAATAAGGAAAAGAAATTCTGGTAAACATATTTGTAGGAGAAAGAAGAAAAATGAAGAAAGAAAAGGTAGATCTACTATAAATGACAAATCCAAAGGAAAATATAGTATGAAAAGCCCAGAAGCTGACCAGTTTGCCTTTCTCTTTTCTGGGGGCTTGATTAAAAAAAAATAAAACAAATGTACACCATAACTAAAAAGAAGGTGGGTGGGTATCTAAATGAGGATAAGGTATACATATATATTAATAACATACCATTATATATTATATATATACATACATATCTCACAGGCAAATCAGATATCATTAGCTCAGAAAATCTTTTCTGATACTAACACCCAACACCAGAGTGCCATCATGGAAGTGTTTTAACAGGGGACAGAAAATATGACACTAAAATCTGAAGGGGCATTGAGATAGTGAAAACAGCTGTCCAAAAGCTAAGCAAAATATTATGAAACAGAAAAAAAATTCATTAGAAGAAAAAAGAAAAAAAAAGGAAAAGGGGAGAAAGGAAAAGGGGAGAAAGGAAAAGGGGAGAAAGGAAAAGGGGAGAAAAGGAAAAAAAGGAAAAGGGAAAAAAGGAAAAAGGGAAAAAAGGAAAAAAGGGAAAAAAGAAAAAAGAAAAAAGGGAAAAAGGGAAAAGGAAAAAGGAAAAAAAGGGAAAAAGGGAAAAAAGGAAAAAAGAAAAAAGGGAAAAAGGAAAAAAGGGAAAAAGGAAAAAAGGGAAAAAGGAAAAAAGGGAAAAAGGAAAAAAGGGAAAAGGAAAAAAGGGAAAAGGAAAAAAGGGAAAAGGAAAAAAGGAAAAAGTTAAAAAAAAAAAAAAAGAAAAAAGATAAAGAATATTGAGCTGTTATGCAATATAAGTTGTTATATGGCAATGAATACTGGACAGTCTTCTCACAGGTGAAAAAGACTGTGGCCATAACTGAAATGTGGTTCTACAAAAGGATATTGAGAATATCATGGGCTGAACATCTGAACAAAAAACTTCAGGAATTTGGAAACGAAAAGGAAACTAATATTCAGGTAGGAAACTAATAATCAGAAAGAGAAAATAGAAACTTTTTCAGTAAAAAGAGGGCTTGGAGAATTTGAGCCTCATGTATACTGACAGCAAGGAAGATAGAGGAAAGCAGCAAGTAACCTACATAACAAGCTTGTGTAAATATTTGGCAGAATTGTGATTAAAGGAGAGAGCAAAAAAAAAAAAGAAAAAATTACAATGACCTACAAAGAATAGAGGATTGTGGAGAGAGCCATGATTTCCCACATCCTGAAGAGATGTGGCACATGAAAGACTTCTTGTATTTTTGACAATGAAATATAAACTCACCTGCCTTAAATTCTTTAAAACATCATTTGCACACCATTACCTTAATTCTTTTATTCCTTAACAAATCCTGAAATTCCTGATAAAAAAAATATAACATATTTTAACATCTAAATCTACTTTATATTCCCAAAGATCTTGGTGAGCAGGTATTGTTATTTTAGTTAACTCCAAATTCTAAGAATAGAGGAAATTGATTGATTGATTTATTCTTTATGGCTTATCAACCTTTTGCAGGCCAGAAAATATTTTTCACTTCTAAGAATTTATTTTTCAGATAATAATGAACCCAACAGGAATTGGAACTCAGCTCTCTGATTAACAATTTCTAGCAATTATCTATTACATCAAATACACAACCAAGCTTACAGCACCTGATTTTCCCAATTGTTCACTCATCTAGGTACTGACCAGGCTCAACATTGCTTAACTTCAGTGATTGTATAGGAACCAGATAGAGCAGAACAGTTATTGCAGATCTTTATTATCAAGAACAATGAAAAGGCAAAGACTCATGCAAAGGCAAAGACTCATGCAAAGGCAAAGACTCATGCAAAGGCAAAGACTCATGCAAAGGCAAAGACTCATGCAAAGGCAAAGACTCATGCAAAGGCAAAGACTCATGCAAAGGCAAAGACTCATGCAAAGGCAAAGATTCAATGCAGAGATGAGTGATAGATTTATAAATGTGCAAGATATATTCTGACATGACATAGTGAATCAACTATCCTAGCAGCAGGCATAGCAGTTGATTCAATATAATCATTCCGCTTCATGTTAGTGGCAAACATGACATTAAGAAGGCAGAACGAGTTGCTCTCCTGGAGGTTAGCATCAGCCATGCTGATGGAATAAATGGTTGTTTTTGTTTAACATATCAAACTTTTGTAATGGAATGTCCCACACTCCCTATTGCTTATGCGGACTGACTATATCAGTAGATATATATTGTGAGCACAGGATATACCTAGGGACTTGCTTTGGCAATTAGTTGGAGATTTGTTTCCACCTGTGCTGGTTGAACTCTCTACCTTTGGGCATAGAGGAACCCAGATGAGTCTATTATAGTGGTCAATGCTTTGTGCAAAACCAACCACACTTTTTTAAGGGCTGAATACAGAGACCTGCTGCACTACGTACCATAAGGTTCCAAAAAACCTTCCACAGGTTTTGAATTCAGAGTTGTCCTTCTCCTAGACCAGTTGCCATCCAAGGCTATAGAACCCAATCTGTCCTGCTATTTACCCATAGCTGGAGGGAAAAGAAGAGGATTCATACCTTTCCTAAGGATATTAGCACATAAGTGCTAATATCCTTAGGAATAATGTAATGGATTTGACTGGAATTTGAACTTGGCTCTCCGATTCCTCAATCTGAGCTGCTATTACTCCAACATTGCAGTATAAACCACAGTGCTCCATGGCTGTTGAAAAAATACATCAGTGTCTGAGCAGGCATCTGCAACAGGGTTGGCTAATCACCTTAATAGACAAGCATACTTGGAAATAAGCAACCAGTCATTATATGTAACAACTGTTCGCCAAAATCTTTGAGCCAATGAAAATAAAGAAAAAATATACTATGTTAGACTCAACCACTTATGTGAGTAGAGCTTCAAAATATGAAACATCCCCTAAGCATAGATTGAGAATAATCTACCCTTGTAGATTGAATAAACAATTTCATTCAGAATTTATGCTACAAGTTTACTAAGTACCAAAATAAACATTAGAAGAAGGCCAGAGAGCAAAACTGCTGAAATGTGAATATAGCAGCCAAGATGACAATCAAAACTTATGATAATAGCCAAATCATCTGGTGTAAAATACTCAAATTTGGTGTGCAGAATTATTGGATTTGAAGGAAGGTGTTAGTATAAAACATTGTTACTAACAGTGAAAAGAAGTGTTTACTCTTAATTGAATGTCTCTTTAGTACCAATATTTGTTGCTTATATTTCTTTAGTGTAAGATTATAATTTATCTCTTATCTGTGTTTTGCAAAAAAAAACAATCTTATAGAACATTTTCACCCTCCACCTCAACCTGATAAAAACTATTTTTTTACTTTATTTCTACAATAAATCTGTTTTCCTTTTATGCTACATATTGATCAGGACTGTTCTTTTGCCGGCAATGAAACTTGATGGGCGGTGAATAATTACAATAAAAGATTTTTCATTTATAATGATTGGAAAACAGATATTTCTTAGTTATAAATTTGTTTCAACTTTGCATTGTAAGTTATAATCAGTCTCAAACTAATTCTTGGCATAGATAGGTACTTCTGCTAGTATTACAATATATGGTGTATATTCGAGTTCAGATTTATTTATCAAGAATGGTTTTTACAGTTATTTTCACTCTTTTGGAACTTGATTCTTTTTCTCCACTTTAAATTAAATTTAACTAATATTTTTATCCTTTTTTTTTCACAGTTATTTTCATTCTCATTTGAGATGGTCTAATACCTACTTTCAATCACCGAGCTCACATGAACACTTGCTTCCACAGCACAATTCAAAAAAAAAAGACATACTTGTGTGATAATGTTTTTCATACTATTACTCTTTTTTCCTAAATTATATGAAGTATATTACTATAGTCTTGCAAATTAGTTGAATCTACTGCACATCTATACAACTGACTGATCATAAAAAAAACAAACAAAATGAAACAAAAATCTAAGATTGTTTTTCATTTTGTGAATCTGATATGCTTAAACCTGCTGAGAAACTTCTGGAAAGAAAAAGACAAGTAGGATAAAAAAGATAAGCTTTCAAAAATGAATGCTGATAATGTTTTATGAACATTTGATAATGTTAAAAAATCCAGAAAACTCTACAGAAAAAGCCCATTACATATATTTTATGGAAAATCTCTCTGGTAAGTCCATTAAAGAGGCTTAGTGACATTCACATCTGTAATCATTCATGAGCATCACTTTCCTCCTGATACAGGAGATGAAGATAAGGATCCAAACATAAAAACAACTAGGGAAAAAAATAGTTGCAGGTAAATAATACAAGCATTTATTTCTTATTAAATTTATGGCGTGAAGAACCCATATCTTTTCCCTGATGTTGCATCACACTAATTTCACACAGATGGGGGTGACCACAAAATTCAACACTTTAAAACTTTTTACTACTTTAAATTCAATTAAAAGAACTAAATCTGAAGTATATATCCCCCACCAGACAGATTTAAAGGTCAATTAAAATTTTTATATATACCGAGGGCTTTTAGATAGGAATTTCTCATTTATGCAGACGTGGTTGAAGATCTGAATATGCACCTATGTGATTGTTTGTGGCTCGGAAAATGGAATCGGTGAGCCTGTATTCAGACTCCAGTCAATTTTTATGACCTTCCCTTTCAAGCAAATACACTTGAGAAAGTTATGGATAAATCTCTTCTCCCCACTATGGTTAAATGGTAAAGCATACTGAACTCTTTAGCTGTAGTTGGCAATCATCTCAGAAGAGGACAATTCCGAATTTAAAACCATATATAATCCTGTCAAGGTAGACCCTTTGATGTGGTGTAACAGTTAGCAAGCTTGCCTTGCGAGATCAATTACAACTGAGTAATGAGTTCAATCCTCACTGGGTGTGCTTTAATCTCAGCCTTGTGCCACAACTAAGCTATAATTAGTAAATGGCTGGGCACTTTGATGTGGTTTAAAGGTTAGCAAGCTTGCCTTGCTAGATCCTTTACAACTGAGTAGTGATTTCAACCCTCATTGAGTGCTCCACTCTTTCAGCCTGGTGCCATATCTAAGCTACATTGAGAAATTCATTTTGTGAATAGTGAGTTCGATACTCACTGGGTGCTCTATGCTTTTGCCCTAGTGTCACATCTAAGCTATGTTTAAAAAATCAGCAGGTTACTCTGACATAATGTAATGGTTAGCAAACTTGCCTCACTGGATCATTTATGACAGATTAGTGAGTTCAATCCTCATTGGGTGCACCATGCTTTCAGCTTCACTTAGAAAATTATTTTCTGAGTTCTATCCTCAACTGGTGCACAGGTTTTTATATTTTATATATAGACCAATGAAAATTCTTCAAGAGATTTTTACTGTAATTTTTCTGGTTTCTAGAGAGAATTTGGATATAAATTGTCCAACAATTGTAAGAAGACAGAATGTATGGTCGTCACCAAAAGGAACAGCCCAAGATGTGAATTATGCATTTCAGATGTCAGAATCAAGCAAGTATAAAAATTTAAATATTTTGATAGAGTTTTAACAGATGCCAGACAATGTAATGCCAGACTCTGAAAACCTATTGGAATAGCAAAAGATGCCTACCGAAAGCTAAGCAAAGAATGATGAAACCAGAAAATTTTGTTATAAAGAAAGCCGTTATTTAATACTGGTTCTCCTAAATGACAGTAAATGCTAGGCAATCATCTCACAGATGAAGAGACTTGCGGCAACAGAAATGTTCTAATGAAGCATGTGGAGAATACCGTGGGTGGAACACGTGAGTAACAAGGAAAACGGAAATAAAAAGATAAGCATACTTAGAATCAGAAAGATATAGATGAAATTTATAGGATAAATAATAAGGAAAGAGAGCTTGGAGAATTTAATTCATACAGGATATACTGAAAGCAAGTGAGAGAGAGAGAGAGAGGAAAGCAAGTGAGAGAGAGAGAGAGAGGAAAGCAAGTGAGAGAGAGAGAGAGAGGAGAGAGAGAGAGGAAGGTGAGAGAGAGAGAGAGGAAAGCAAGTGAGAGAGAGAGAGAGAGAAAGCAAGAGAGAGAGAGAGAGAGAAAAGCAAGAGAGAGAAAAGAGAGAGAGAAAAAGAAAGTGAGAGAGAGAGAGAGAGAAAAGCAAGTGAGAGAGAGAGAGAGAGAGAAAAAAGCAAGTGAGAGAGAAAAAGCAAGAGAGAGAAAAGCAAGAGAGAGAGAGAAAAGCAAGAGAGAGAGAGAGAAGAGAGAGAGAGAAAAGCAAGAGAGAGAGAAAAGCAAGAGAGAGAGAAAGAGAGAAGAGAGAGAAAGAGAGAGAGAGAGAGAGAAAAAGAGAGAGAGAGAGAGAGAAAAGCAAGTGAGAGAGAGAGAAAAGCAAGGAGAGAGAGAGAGAGAGAGAGAAGAGAGAAAAGAAGAGAGAGAGAGAGAGAGGAAAGAGAGAGAGAGAGAGAGAAAAGCAAGAGAGAGAGAGAAAAGCAAGGTGAGAGAGAGAGAGAGAAAAGAGAAGAGAGAGAGAGAGAAAAGCAAGTGAGAGAGAGAGAGAGAGAAAAGCAAGAGAGAGAGAGAGAGAGAAAAGCAAGTGAGAGAGAGAGAGAGAAAAGCAAGAGAGAGAGAGAGAGAGAAAAGCAAGAGAGAGAGAGAGAAAGAGAGAGAGAGAGAGAGAGAGAGAAAAAGCAAGTGAGAGAGAGAGAAAGAAAAGAGAGAGAGAGAGAGAGAAAAGAGAAAGTGAGAGAGAGAGAGAAAAGCAAGTGAG